GAATCCCACCAAGTTAATTTCAGTCTACCACTCCCAGTGCAACCCATGGCAAGAACAAAGACACTAAGGCATACTTAAAATTATTGGAGAGCCAAGGGTCTTTAAGTCCAACCATGAAGATGGCTTTCTGGAACCAACAGAGCAACCAGTGCTGCACCTGGGTTTTATTCAGCCAAGAAGGGGGAGTGGCTTGAGGAAGCGAATTGTGGGAATTAGGTGAGTACGGTGAGCTGGGCCAGGTAGGTGACCTATATTGACCTCTGCCATATGCAGAGAGGATATTCAGAGAACATAATTTGCATTATTCTATTGAGATAGTATCTAATGTTTCAGGGGTCTGGTGCTTGGGCTCTGATGTGTAATCTTTCAAACCCATGAAACCTATCTCTATCTCAAGGCTCTGCTGTAGGCAGCTGAATTAGGTAGACATATTATAGGCAGTTAGACAGGGTCAGGCCCTCAAGGACAAGATAGAAAACAAAGTGACTTTGCAACTTGGAAGAGACAGACACTCCTATATGGACCACATCTCAAGACCAAGACAGAAGAGGAAACACAGCTACATACTTCCCTAGGGTTGGGCATCAGAGATTGATATTCTAAATAGGTATCAGTCATCTTGAAAGAGCCCAAATGTGTCACTAACCCAACCCCCAACAGGAAGAGACCCTGTCCTGTATTCATGCCCCACTTGTTATGTGACTCACTTCCCCATTTAGTGCTGGATTTAATCAATTTTACCTGAGCTATGGTGCTTGTATTCTCATTGGCTGACCATAGTTTTGTCTCATCTCATGCCCACCTGAGTGAGTTCCCATGTTCTCCACCACCTTAGACCTGCCTCACTACATGGTTTTACACAATAAAAGTCCCTGGAAGAGACAGCTTCCTGGGGAGAACCTGCCCAGCCCCCTGACCTCCTGTCCCTTTCCTGGACAGGAGCTTTCTTTTCCTCAGTAAATATATTCTGCTTATAACCTCAGTTTGTTCCTAAAATTCATTCTTCGGTTTTAGAGAACATGAACTCATGTTCATGTTGCTGTAATGGGTCAACTCATGTTTTAGATTATAAATGTAAATCTTGTGCTTTCTGTTGTAAATGTATACTCACCACTGTTCTAAGTTGTTTAGTAAATAGTGGCTGTTACTTGCTGTTTGCTAGATAAAATTCCTACCTAACCAATCCCTGTAAACAAAGTTAGCTTACAGAGATGGCTTCACAAGGAAACTAAATGGGATTTAACTTCTTGTAATCTTGGGCTATGCAAGGTTTCCTGTAGGTACTCAGGTGCATGATAACTAGAAACTAAAAGCCCCAGGAAATTTAGTTTGAGTAGTGGTCACAATGACCCTGAAAGCATTGTTTTGTGTCAATGAATTTGTTTATCAAACAAATGTGGTTTCATGTTTTAAAAGCCCCCTGCTTCCTGGGCTAGCTGCCTTTCTGTCCTCTTCTGCGTTAGAGCTGAGTGAGAGTTGATTGGGAATCCTGAGCTCAATAATAAATGGCTTTCCAAATTCCAATCTGGCTGATCTGGTTCCTATTCTGAGTGACCCATAACAGTTCCAGGTACCTTTTAGGTTGGGAGATCAGATTTTCTTCCCTGTGTCATTTGGAGGTTCCCTGTATCTGCTCACTACCAGCCGACAGTGTGGAGCACTGGCTCTTTGTCCTGTCTCCACCTGGCTCATACTAAAGAGCAGCAGGTGTGGGTGATGAGGGAAACATGCATTACATCTTCAAAAACTGCCACCAGCACCTCAGCCAGACCAATATATATGGCTTAATGCCAATTAAAGGATAAAGAAAAGCCCTAGCCAGCTCTGTACATATCAATATAAGGAGCTTTCGGCTTTCGGCTAGGAGGAGGCTAAGGTGCAACTTTCTTCAGTTGTCCCGAATCCGGGTTCATCCGACACCAGCCACCTCCAGCATGCCGCCCAAGTTCGACCCCAACGAGATTAAAGTTGTGTACCTGAGGTGCACCGGTGGTGAAGTTGGAGCCACGTCTGCCCTGGCCCCCAAGATCGGTCCCTTGGGTCTGTCTCCAAAAAAAGTGGGGGATGACATTGCCAAGGCAACTGGTGACTGGAAGGGCCTGTGGATCACGGTGAAACCGAGCATTCAGAACAGACAGGCTCAGATTGAGGTGGTGCCTTCTGCCTCTGCCCTGATCATCAAAGCCCTCGAGGAGCCGCGAAGAGACAGAAAGCAACAGAAAAACATTAAACACAGTGGAAATAGCACTTTTGATGAGATTGTCAACAGATGCGGCACCGGTCTTTAGCCAGAGAACTTTCTGGAACCATTAAGGCGATCCTGGGGACCTCCCAGTCTGTGGGCTGCAACGTGGACAGCCTGCACCCTCATGACATCATAGATGACATCAACAACGGCATTGTCGAGTGTCCAGCTAGCTAAGAAGCAAA